TGCTCTCAATGGTAAGAATTAGTTTGTAGTTTGCTCACTACAAGAAATCTCAGGGAATCACAAATTACACCTGTCTTTTTGTACACCTGTGTTTTTTCCCGTTCATTGTTCTGTTTAAAGCCTTGTTGTCTCTTCCCTCTCTGCTCTCCTAGTTATTGCTTTTTTCCGTTTAAAAAATCTCACAGCTTTTGTCCTCTTCCAGATTCATGATATATGAGAAATGTTTGGATGCTACTTCTCCTTGCTTTGTCTGCAGGGATTTGACTTTTTCTCATTTCACAAACACATGTCATCTCTGTAATGGACTAGACTACTAGTTTTTTTAGGACCCTGGTCCTAGTAGACCTAAAATAGTTTTTAAAAGATTAGAATAAAGACAGATGGCTTTAATTTGTCAATTCTCTACACTAACCTAGTCTAGCAGTCAATGAAAAAGAAAAGGCAGGTTGAAATTTTATTAAAGTTATAGACAGAACAGAACCTACAACATATACATATTCTATAAGGGCAGTGGTGGCCTAGTGGTTTGGATATTGTGCTCGGAACCCAGAGGTTCTGAGGTCAAGCCCCACTCCCACAGACTGACACTCTGGGACCCTGAGCAAAAGCCTTCACCACCACCCTGCTCCCCGGGCGCCCCACAGTGAAAGAGCACTACTTCCCAAATGGATGGGTTAAATTCAGAGTGTTAATTTTGTTGCTTTGTACTTGTGACAGTGTAATGGCAATAAAGCTGAATTCTATTCTGTTCTACATTCAAACCTGAGGGTAGTTTTTAGGCTGTAATTTGATGGTGTCACAATATCCAGAGAGAACTTGTGTTTGGATGTTGAGGACATACACATTTCTAAAACATAGCCCCCAGCTTGAATCTGAACCTTGGACCTTCATTCTGAAAGTCAACAGATAAACTGGTTCAGATTACGTCATGAGGCTAAACCAGTAGAACATTAGCAATCAAAATTACAAAGAATATCAGAAAGAAATAAGTTTAAGGAACATATATTATAAGAAATACATATGAAATATATTTTTCCTTTTATTAATTTCTTTTTCTTTATTGATCTCTCAAACTTTTATATGATTCCAATGGGAACAGATGCCTATATCCAGTTTACACTTGGCTAGAATTAGCGTACACCCTGGATGGGCCGCCAGTATTTCAAAGGCCAACACAGACACAAAGGACAGACAAATTAGCACGCACACACTCTAAAATGGACCTAAAATAACAAGCAGTCTCTAAACAAAAATAAAATGAAATCCAGAACCTTCTGGGTGCAAGGCAACAGTGCAACTGTAACAACAATGACACAGCCCAGCATCTGTTGCCACACTAAAACATTAAAAGAATTGAAATGACAAAACTTATTGAATCATGAAACAACTTTAGAAGCATATTTCTCTTGAATGATCCTAGCTTCAAAATCGCCTAAGGTGCTAATATTTGTTCCATGATTCTAAACAACACTCTTTCGCTTGATTTAACACTCCATTAACATCTATATAAAGTGCTTTGTCAGCAACCACCTCCTTTGGCAATGACTGTTGTAACTTGTGTTTTTTTAGGGCATGTCCATGGTGTAGTTCTTGTTTGGGCAACTGATAATTCAACAGTCTCTCCATGATCTTCTAGAACATAGCCGTAGCAGAACATCTATTTAAGACTCATACAAAATAGGCAGGGCTGCTCAGTGGTGCAGTGGGTAGCAATGCTGCTTTGCACCTTTTCAAGAAATTTTGATTCCCTGCCAGGGATCTTTCTGCATGGAGTTTCCATGTTCTCCCTGTGCATGCATGGGTTCTCTCTGGGTACTCCGGCTTCCTCCCACAGTCCAAAAACATGACTGTTTGGTCAACTGGCTTCTCTAAATTCTCCTTAGCTGCGAGTGTGTGCATGAATGGTTGTTTGTCTCTGTGTTGCCCTGCGATAGACTGGCGACCTGTCCAGGTTGTACCTCGCCTCTCACCCATTTGCAGCTGGAGATAGGCACCAGCACCCCTTGCAACCCCAGCAAGGATGAATGTGAAGGAAAATGGATGTATAAATGAAATAGGATTCATGTGAAATTCCGAATTTTAAAGAAGTTTCAAGTTTTAGTCACCAAAATGAATAAAATACGACACTACATGTGCAGCTAATCTTTATCATTTCAACCTTTTGAATTGTAATGCTGCAATAAACTGTTTCATGTTTAATTTAGATGCACCTGTAGAAGTAACATCTTCAAACAGACTATTGATGAATGTATCATCCTTTTTATATCTGAGATGCCAAGGTGAAGTAAGGGAAGAGCCTTCACAGACCAGGATGGACAGGGGAGACAGATAAAGATTGATGATCAATGTGAAAGAACAAGGCGGAGATAAGTGAAAGTCTTGAGATATGTGTGAGAAGGACACTATCTAGAAAAAAACTTCAGCGATGGAATGGCATCCAACCCTAATAAAGAGGGATGTTGAAATGTGTTATGTCTATAATATATGAAAGAATAAAAATTTATGCTTGCATTGACTGTTTTAATTAGCTAAAAGATGCATTCTAACGACTGTAATCATAAAAGTCAGTCATTAAAACTTTTACTTAAACTACATATTTCTGTGATCTTAAGTTCTCAGCAAAGTTTTGCTGATATGAAGTCATAACTTGTCAAAAAAGATTTACACAATGTTTCTTTTGGAGAAAGTATTTGACAATGTCAAAGCTATAAATCCCAATTTGTTTGCAACTCATCTATTTAGTGGGCATTAATTTATGACCGTGAGCTGAGAAGTGAACAACTTCATCAGCACATCCAACACCAGCAGAAGCAGCCGCACCATAAATAATCTCTTTTTGTCAAGTGCCCTTTGCATTTTGAGGAGATATTGCAAGTATGTCAAACAGAATCCCGACTCAAATCATCTGCTCCAGTGTGGATTTTTGATGGCAAATCATTATTTTTGCAGTAACTAATAAGGTTGTTGTCTGCTCAGATAACAAATTAAACCAATGTGTAAGATTGGCACTAAAAAGGGGGGGGGGGAGAAGGTTTGAATGACCTCAGAAGCATTAACAGCATTTAAAGACTTATCTCATTATGAATTCTGCTCTCCTCTCCTACTTGTTGCTGAAATGAAAAATGTTGTTTCTTACTGCCTCGCTTTCAAAATCCAGAAAATGAGTGATGAAACAGAATGTAACTGCTCAACTTTAAACAAAGCAAAATGTTCCAGTGAGAGCTCAAATTTTTTAAATGAAAATATGTAATATTACATTTAATTCTGTACAGGCCTGCAACCTGAATTTGAAGAAAGCCTCCAACAGCTTCTGTGTAAACTGTAAAATCTTCAGTTGATTTCAGCTTTCCCCAAAACTCACTTATAATCTAAAATATACCAGGCAAGCACACCAAGCAGCATGTTTTCATTGCTGTCAGCTAAAACCTTACTGGTCAAAACCTTTGATTGATAACATCAAACTGATTTAAAAAAAATATATTATCAAAACTCCAAAAAGAATCCCACTGTTCAAACTGTGTGTGAATGCCTGCCATCCATTTACATTAAATTATGTCTAATAACTCATGTTATTATGAGCTAAAAAAAACATACATTTTACCATATAAAATAAATAAAAACAACAGACTTTATTTGGTCTCTGTAATTTATGTAATGATAAACGTAAAACTGAAATTCACAACAAAGAATGATGGCCATGATACAAAGCAGGTACTGTTATAAACTAGTAATACACTGACATCTGGTGGACACCTGCTGCAACCTGCTTCTCTCAGTATTTGACAAACACTTAAAACCATTCAGAACAATCCATTTTGATGTTAGGAATTGTTCTTACTTAAGGTTAAAACAGATTTCCAGTGTTACAAAAATATCCACACTCTTTTTTAATCATTGTCGCAGACAAACATATAACATATGTTACAGAACCCATTCATTTATGTCTTCATTTCCATTTTGGTTTTCAGTATAAAGCACATAACAGTGGGATGAATTAAAAATTGCAAACAATCAAAATACTTTTTCAAATCAGTATGGGAAAAGTGGTGTGCACATTCTGAATCAGTATATTGTAGATGTGGCCTATAAATAAAAGTCTTTTGGGGGAAGGCACCAGCAGCTTTACATATCTAGAGGCTGAAATGATTAATCTTTCTTACTTGGAGAATACCTGAAGCTCAGTTAAGTTGAGGAAGGGATGTCTGTGAGCTTCAGTTTTCGGCTGGAAGACCAAGCTTCAAGGTCAAGAAGAATGAATAATTTTGCAGGTCAATGTGTCCTCTGTAAAATACCAATAGAATTGGAGTGCCCTAAGAGATAGTAAGACTGGAGAAAACCTACACTGCAGAAAATTTAAATCTAAATAAGTCATTTTTTTCTAAAAAATGAGTGCATTTTTTCTTGAATTGAGGAGGTAAGTGAGACACTTTGCCAAAGAAACAAGACAACTTGCAATTAAAATAATTGCATTGTCTTATTTCAAGTGCATATTATCTAACTATATTATTTTAAGAGTAGAGAAAATAATTTCATTGGCAAGTCATCTTATTTACCTCCTCAAATTAAGGGTAAATACACTTAATTTAAGAAATTTGTACTTTCTATAACATTTTTGCAGGTTACAATTTTTAGAAAGTACTTCATTACAAGAAACTCTTTGATTGAGCTGAGTGAGCTAGAATTATATATTCAAATAATAATAGCAACACTTCCACAATTAGAAGTCACAAAATTAGAAGCTTGTTGCTAGATTGTCCAAAGTGTTTTGCTTTTTTCCTGAAACATTTAGCAAGCTGAACTATTCAATACTAAACACATGATGTGATAAATATCTGATTTTACCACCAACACAGCAAGACCAAAGGTCTAAAGTCTAAGCAATAAAAAAGCTCCGAAATGTTAGCTATGAAATTTTTATGACTAAAACATTTGATAAATCCCCAACCTTTTTTTTTTTACCGTAATTCAAAATCTCAAAAGAAATAATTTCATGTTGAATATTAGTTTTCTGGTTTTACAAATTTGGGAGATGCTTCTTTATAAGTATAAATATCCTGCTAAACCACCATGCTAAGTTGACCTTTACCTGAATAAACTTTATTGTTAATGTTTCCTGCATCTTCAAAATCATTTCGATTAAATGTCAGGACAAAAAAATAAAAAAATAAACCTCAATTAAACTTGGATTGAACAGAATTTGTAATTCATTTTGACTTATTAAAAAAGTTTGTGAGGTTCCCAGAAAAAAATAATCCAGCTAAAGCAGAAGGATCATGGCATATCTGCATTAGTAAAGACTGAAACTTTTAATAAACAAGTAGGACAATACAGCATTGAGATGGTTTAGCTTAGTAAATGCTTTACAAACTACACTTATAATGATAGAATCTGATGATTCCAATTACATCAGCAGGACAATAAACACCTTTTACTGAAAGGTGGATCCATGTATAGACAGGAATCTCGCAGCTATAGTTTATTCTGATATTAAATACAGGTAGTAAATGTTACAGTAATTATATAATTCAAGATACTTCCACACATTCAGTACAAAATATAGCTGAAATGATCATTCGAGAGATATGGCTGAATTAAGCATTTCTTAGGACAATTTCTGAGCAATGTCAGATGGTTTCTAAATAACCATGCTCCCATAACATGTAAGCATAACCTCATGTGTAATTTAATATTTGTATTAGGATTTTTTATTTTTTTTAATCTTAACCCATTCTCCCTAACATAAGGATTGCGTCCAAAAGGAGTATATTCTAGTTGTTTACAGTGATCATTTATGAGCACCAAATCTTCCAACAAACGCTTCCAAAATCCAAAAAGGAGGTCTTCAGGACTCAGCCGAACTGGTCGTCCCTTCTTAATCGATTTTTTCGGGTGGAACCACTTCCATAAGCAGCTGGAGATGCATAGTGATGGGCCCTGTGGAGCGAAGATCAAGTATGAAATCATTATTAACAGACATGAGCTCATTTCTTTAGATCAAAACATTTAAACATTCCCTGTATCTGCCTTTTGATGACACAATGTATTTGTTTAATCTACTGACAGGTAAACAGAATCTGTTAACAGTTCTTAGCCATTCTCTTAGTTGAAAAAGGGAGCATACTCATGATTTTGCGTGCCCACTTTGCTTTCCAGTAGACCAGTGGGAAGTAAAGGATGAGTCCACCGAAGATGAAGATGGCACAATAAAGGTATTCCCACTCAGGCTTGTCGATAATGGGGGCCAAGACAAGGTAGATCGACACCAGGACTACGATACCAGCTATGACGATTGGCACCTTTACTTTTCACAGAAAATCGTTATCAGTTAAACATGCATATATATATAAAAAAACACAAATACTGTGTCTTGCAAAACTTTGCCACCTTCAACCTCTTCCCATTAAATCTGGGATGGGATTTTACTCTTGTATCCGTAAACAAAACCTTAGGCAACCATTTACGTTCAGAAGTCACCTGAGTAGTCAATTTGTCACATTGTGCTTGATATAATCTTTGTCTAAAATATGTCTTATATCCAAATCTGTTTAGTAAAGAACATTTGTGGACAAACGACACAATAAAGAGCAAGGAACACACCAGGCAGGTCAGAGGGAAGATGGTGGAGAAGTTTGGAGAAGAGCTACGACTAAAATAATATCTGAGGCCTTGAACATATCAGAGATCTCTAATAAATAGTTAGAAAAATGGGAGGATTATTTACACAGCTACTGACAGAAATGAATGAAGGAACAGTTTCTCATGGTATCTTAAAATGATCTGCAAAGATTTAAAGCTCAGGTGGAAGAATATTTTCTGCAGGAAAACTCCAAGCTGTGAAAACCTTGCAAATCTTGCCTAGCAATTTGAAATCCTCATTATAGGCAACCTCAGAAGCAACAGCAAACACGTAGAAAAAAGACATGCTCACGTCAGACTGCAAATTTAATATTGATATACATACAAATTGCAATGACTGGCCAGAAAAGAAAAAAAAAACTTGAAGACACCATCCAATCCATGAAAGATGGAGGAGGTTTTATCATATTGTGACAATTTATTCCTCTAGCAGGGGCTGAATGGATGGTAGGGTGGGTAGAGGTAAATACAGGATTATCCCTGGAGAAAACCAACTAGAGGGACTAAAAGACTTGAGATCTGGGCAGAGGTTCACCTTCACATTGATCCTAAATTCAAAGCCAGGGCTACAAATTCATGTGTTTTATCAAATCTGTTGTCATACTTCAAATATTAATGAGTAAAAGCTGCTTTTTAAGAACAAAAATATGATCTCTGGATGAGCAAAAACTGGTTTAGACAAACCAGAAACTCATGGGTGACTCGTGGGTGTCTGAACACTTAAACATGCCACACTTAATTGCTGATTATTTGCAGAAAATAATAAAATATTTCATGGTTTTCTGTTTCGGTTGATTTTTCTCAAAGGATCTCAGTAAAATATGTTAAAATGTGTAGGTTTTAATTGCAACATTTGATATCAATGATATCAATAATACTTTTGGATGCTGTTGTTCATCACCCTAAACTTTTAGCTGAATAAAAGCCTCCAAGAAGTCTCACCTTTACAGGCCGGTCAAAGTCCTTCCGGGTGAAACGCATGACTATTAGAGCCAGAGCTGTCAGACCATAAAAGGCCCACTGAGCAAAACTGAAGTAGTTTATAAGGGTGTTGATGTCCGCTGGGATAATGTAGAATATTGCCAAAATACCCTATAATACAAAGAAAGCAATAGTTAAATGATTATATTGTTAAGGTAAATAATAGATTACTAATGATTTTGTGATCATGTATTATGAAAATACAGTAAGAAGACCAAAAAAATAAATTTAGGGGCTCCTGTGGGATCATGTGTTGTCATTTAAGGGAACCTAATTCAATATTTGTTTTAGACTCACGTTGAAGCACAGAGCAGGCAAAGGAGTGTAGCGTTTCAGACTGATATAGGATAAGATTTTCACCATGTGACCCTCTCTGCCAGCTACATATGACAATCTGGGATGAGAGAAAGTTTAAATATGAGCTGACATTCTAATTATTATAAAATTCATGCTCCATTTTGTTCTCCACATATAAATCCAAGTTTATTAAACACAAAACATTGAACATATGCAGCTTTGCATGTGCAGCCAGAAGGAATAGAAAAACAATGAGTCTGTTTCACCTGCCAGCAGTAAAACAGCTTCCATTGGCAGAACCAAATGTTGAGAAGGCGACAAACAGAGGAACTATCCAAGCCACAGGGTAAAGAACTCTATTGCCAAATGTCTGTGAAGACACACAAAAAAAATCACTCAGGGGTTAAACAAAGGGGTAATTACTGAGAATTCATCAAAAGGTTTTAAATAAAAGAGAACAAAACGATCAAATATCCTGTGTTTGAAATGGTGATTAGCTCATTTTAGAAAGTCCTCATTAAAGCCTATTAACATTTATACCATGCTGATAAGTCCTAACATTTTTTGAGGTTATATAGCTGTGAGCTTTACAAAGAGTTGTCCTTACCACAGCAACAGCAGAAGAAGACAGTAGCTGAGAGGGGGTCATAACAGTAAAGTAAGCAATGTTGACCAACACATAGCAGACGGTAACCAAAGGGATTCCAATGATAATGGCCAGTGGCAGATTTCTGTGGTAAATTCAGACAAATCATGTCAGAAGAGATTTTACACTGCTTAGTATTCACATTTCTCTCTTTAGACGGTTATTTTACCTGTATGGGTTTTTCAACTCCTCAGTGATGAAATTCAGTTGATTCCTGAGAAACAATGAGAATTTTGTTTAATAACTGAATGAAATTTACAATATTTGCTCTAGGGTCAATAAAAACTCATGTGGACTGACAATATCAATTGATTATTTAATAAAATGACATCTGTTTATTAGATCAAATCCAGATCAATGTAAACCTTTCTTAGAATAGCTTGGATTGTTTATTTAAGAGAGGCTCTTTGCAGAAGACTGAGCTGTAGGAAATGGGTTTAATGAAATGTCGATTGGTTCTAACTTATCAGCAGAAACTAATATCTATATCTCAATACGTTTTTGTTATCATTTTTTTCATATTAGATGGTTGTTTACTTAGAAATGTGATTTCTCACTCCACAGGTGTCATATGCAGAGCTGTAAAGGCCTGTTACAGCCAAATGCTTACAGGCCAATACTCGCCATCACCAGTGTGACAAATCATTATCATCAAATGTACCACATATAACACTCTCTAACACCATAAAGTAGAAACATTAAGTTGTTTATTTTGTTAACTATTTCTGTAATTGCATGCCCTAGATAAGGTTCAGTTATCTGCGGAGGGAACATGACAATAACCCTCCCAGGCTAATTCATGGTTGTCAATAAAACAATAGAGAACACCAGAACTGTCTAATCTCCTTCCTCCCGTCAATGTTTGACACCATTGTTTCCTGGGTGGGATTCATTATACTTCTTATATATAATAGATCTTTAAATAATCAAGATTGATGTAGCTTACAAATCTGCAAAAAAAAACAAACAAAAAATGTAAGTCATTACCATCCATCATAAGCCCAAAGCCCATTATAAAAAGCAAGTCCAATAGCTCCAAAAGACGTGGCTGAGCCTTCAAATGCATTCGACAAGTTCTCTGTCTTTCCTGGACCAAGAAAAATAACAAAAAAAAAATTTATTATTCATTCTTACACTGACAGACCAGCTGCAAAGCTGAAAAGAGAGGTGAGAGGTCTCACCTTGAGCCATCAGAACGATCCCAGCCACCACAATCACGATGATAATGACGAGTTTGGCAGCTGTAAAAAAGTTCTGCACATAGCTTGCTAGTTTGACGCTCAAACAGTTGACACCAGTGATAACAACTAAAGAGAAAGAAACAAAAAAAGTCAAAAATGAAAAACTGTTTCATTAGAAAATCAGTTACTATCTTATACACTCAGTAACTTAGTTACTATCTCCAAATATGGAGCTCTTTTTATTAAGTTTATCATCTGAACAGATTAACTAAATATGAATCAAAATTTTAACTGGAGCCCAGTTTATACTTCAGAGTGTTTGTGTACTTACTTATAGCAGCTGCTGCCAGGCACTTAATAACTGCGAGAGGAGGGGTGCACTCTGGGTAAAAGGGTGCAGAGGCATATTCTGCAAAGCTCAAAGTAATGATGGCGAATGATGAGGGTTTCAGCACCATAACAGTGGTCCACGAGTAAAGGTAGCCGACAAGAGAGCCGAAAGCCTCTATCAAATATGAGTACTCTGCCCCAGATTTGGTGATCATGGTACCAAGTTCAGCATAACAAAGGGCGCCTGTTAAAGTGCATAGGAGGAGAGGGAAATTTATAAATCACTGTAATAAAGAAAGTCATTTGAATCACACTTAGTTCATGGCTCTGTTTGTAATATTCCTTAAAATGTAAAAGAAATCAACAGTCTCAGTCTTACATGGTGGTCTTTTGGTAAAAAAAAAACAATAAAAAAATAAATAAAAGAGCCTCATTTTTTTGTGGGTGATGATTACCCAGCTGCTTTCACAATTTTTTATGTTGTCTATATACACATTAACATTTACCACCCTGGGATTCAAGGACAAAGTCCCGTGCGTTATTTTAGAAGTCTATGCTTAAGATCCCATAATTCTCTGACAAAAATTAAATTTTATAATGGTCATAAAACAAGTGCAAATAAAAAAGGCTGTTAAAAATAAGATTACATCTAGTAAGTGGCTTAACTGTTTTGTAATTTACATCAGGATCTCTTCATAAATAAATTGACTGAAATACAATTTCTGTGATTACAGTGAGTGGCAACGACATTTAGGCATGAGGTACCTTATATTCTGAAAGAGGTTGGGGAAATGATGAGAGACTAACGCTGCAGAAGTCTGGGAATTATTTATTTAATTCCATAATAAAAGTTAAATCTCTTCCGCCTCTATGAGTGTCGTTTTTTTTATATCTTTTTGTAATCAAAGACAGTGTTGCTTGCTTAAAAATGGGGGTGAAGAAAAGGCCATTAAGCCTCTGCCTTTATCAGGCGTGGTCGAGGTCGGTGCCTGAGCTGGGACCTTGGTCATGACTCACTCATTACTGGCTGCATAACACTGCTACAAAGTAATAAAGGTCTTATCATCTGTTTTCACATTTTTGATGAGGTACATGGTGATTGTAGCACCATGTTCTCTTCCCAAAATAAATTTAGTATCTGTTGGCCTTTAGAGTACTGCTGTAGATTCAAACATATTTGATGCAAGGGCTTTAAAAGCATATACAATCCTCTTAAACCTTAAAGTTTTTTTTTTTTTTTTTTTTTTACATTTCAAAATTGAGTTTGTGAGAAAACATTTACAAACCCTTTCAGACATCTTTTGTGGAATAAATTCGTTACAGGTCAAGTTAGAAAAAAGCTATTATTAGAGTAATATGTAAAAAAAAACAAGCAGAAAAAAATGCAATAACCCTGGTTTAATATGTGTAAATCTTAAAACTTCGACTTTAATGCAAGATTTTCATTCAATCACTCTTCTTGAATTCAAACCTGGAATATATGTTTCAGTAAGGTTCGCTTATCAGATTATTGCTCCTTTTATATTAGGGTTTATTTGACCTCATTAAGTGTGGCTCTAAAATGATTAACCACAAATAAAGGGAAAAAGAGGATAACGATAATTTCCTAAATGAATCTGTCGTTTAGAGGTAAAGAGGATTACCAGTATCATCAAATATGGTTTATTTTGTGAGAGTCATGAATGTGTGTAGGTAACTTTCAAACGTTTCATTTTCAACTGAATGTTTGGCCTAATGGTGTCACTATCCGTAATACGTCAGATGATTTGTTCATTAATGTGGTTAACAGGTTTTAAAAGATTTGGATTAAATATTTTCCAAATAAATACCTTCTAATTGAAAAGTTTGGCTTGATGGTGGCACTTGAGTACAGATACGTTTTTTTATCAGGATTTTATGATTTTTAGAAAGAGTCTGACTCAAAACTTTATCAAAACATTCCATAAATAGTTTCATGAAACCTAGGCCCAAAAGTTAAAATTGTGGGTAAAATCTGAGATTTTTAAATGGTAAAAAGTTTCTTTGAAATAATCATTAAATGAAAACCTTACTGTAGGTGTTTAACATAATTTGCATTAAGCCTATATTTCAGTTTAGAAATATTTAGTTTTTTGGTCTCATATAAATCTCTATTCTTAGATTCTATGATTTCATTAGATGTAAGCAGAAAGAAAATCACAATTATCAGGAATAAAGGCTT